AAAATGAGCAAAAAGCTAMCTAAAATACCAAAGGGATAGTTAAAGTTTGCAAAGAACCAGCTAATATGTGCGAAAAAGTTGCTAAAAGTTGAAGATGAATTGCTAAAATAGCTACCACCTAGCTAAAAGTAGCAAAGGACCAATTAAAATGAGCAAAAAGCTAGATAGCAGGTTTGCTATGAGCTAAAAGTAGCAAAGGGCTAGTTAAACACCGAAGTAAGCTTGCAAAAAAATCCAAAATTTTAAGTTAATTGGGAGCTAGAATTTAAAAGCAGCAAAAGGCAAGTTAATCTTAAAAATAGCAAAAGGCTAACACTAGCTAAAAGCAGGGCATAGTTAGCTATAAGCTAAAAGTATCTAAAAGCTATGAAGAAGCTAAAAAGTCAAAGGTTGTGAAATAGGAACAGAAGAAGAGAAGTTATAAATAGCTAAAGGCTAGCTAAAAGTTGAAAGTAGTAAAATAATAGCCTGAAGCTAAAACTAGCAAAAGACAAACTTCAAGTTACAAAAATGTAGCTAAAGGCTAAACAAAACAAAAAGTTAAGGTAAAGCTAACAGTAGCAAAGTAGCACTGATCCTTGAGTCTTTAAAGACTCTGAGCTGCTTTAAATACATTTTTATCCAAATCTGTGAGTCATTAAAACCAAATGAACTACAGTAGCTAAAGGTTTCAAATATAAGCTAAAAGAAACACAATGCTAGCTTAAGACCAAAAGTAACAAAACATTATCCACAAGGGATTACTTTCAGTGAGTTTTATTAAGATCCCTGATATTTTGCTGACAGGCACAGGGAAAAAAAACAACCCACTCTCCCTCCTTTAGCTTCTACACAAGCTGAAGAACCACCTGTGAGCGTTTGTAGAACAGCTGATTGTTGTGCGTGACCGTGCTAATGCAGCGTTAGCCAGCCCGGGTTCTGTTGGTGCTGACCAGATGGATGTGTTTACTGACAACAGAACCTTGTTAGATCTCTGCCCACACGCGCTGAAACACGGCTCCGTGTTGGCGCGTCTGCTGAGCTCTTCGGCTGCTTTCGGCTGCTTTCGGCTGCTTTCTCCTCGCCAGCCCGTTTGTAGGAGCGGACCTGACGTTGGCAGCTCTGCCTCACCTTTTTAACACTTCCTGTTCTTTACACGGTGTTTACCTTCGAGAAGAAGTCGGACAAAGCTCGTAAAGAGTGTGTGTGTGTGTGTGTGTGTGTGTGTGTGTGTGTG